GATATTAGAATTATAAGATTATATTAATATTTAATTATATTAATTATTATATTATTATTAATATAATAAATATAATTATATCAATATAATATAATGTAATAATATTATTGTAATATTATTAATATAATAAATATAATTATATCAATGCAATATAATATATAATATATTGTAAAATAATAATTATAATATCATATTATTAAAATAATTATAATATAATTATAATATAATATTATATGATAATATAATAATATTAGAGTTATTAATATAATTATGATATTATTTGTTACAATATTACTATTATATTATATTACGAGTTTAAATTTTAGATTGAGAAAATTTTAAATTTTAAATTTCATTAGGGATATTATGGGTATTATAACAGTTTCATTAATTGTACTATGTTGATTACCACACAATTTAAAAGTTAAAATTATCTTTAAGCTGCTTCTGATTTTGGTTGTAGGTTCTTAAAAAATTCTTTAAAAAGTACTTTTGAAGAGATTTATCAAACACTAAAATTAACTTCTGCTATAAGTAGAAACTGATTTTAAAAGGAAAAAGTAATACCAAATTAAGCCTATATCTTAACAAGTAATAATGCCCATCAAGAGAGTTTTTATCCTGAATATCATGGGAGTAGATTTAAAATTGGGTTTTATAAAAAATTATTGTGTTCTAATTTAATAACAATTACAGGTTTAGTTTTAATTTCATACTACATCACGAAACTTATTTTTAACGGTGAATATCAATTTTCGAGCTGATGATGGAAGTAATTGTATAATGGGTTTTTCTGGTATAATTAAGATAAAGCAATAGATGTACTCATAAATAAATAAATATAAAAAGCAATAGAAGTTTACTGTTGTTTCATCAATCCTCTTGTAAAAACAGGAGTTTTTTGTTTGGACGGTACTCTGACCCTGCTTTGGAAGGAAAAGCTTGCCAAATCAATGGTCTTTTCTTCTTTTTTCGTTCCCTCTACTTTTTCGGCTATAAAGACAAAGCATTGGGTAGACTTTACTTGGGTTTATGTCGGGTTTTCGGGTATCCAAGTTGGAAGATGGTCCTGGCGAGGAAACCCGGATCCTAGTCAGACAGAAAAGATAGGATAATCGATTGTCCCATATCATTAACTAACTTGCTCACTCCACATAAACCCCGAGCAATACTGGCCCACTTCCATATCTTCTCCTCCATTTCTCCACACCAACAGAGTCTCTGATAGTAAAAGAGTTCAGAGAAATTTTCAAGGAAAAAGACCTTAATCTCTTATGGTCATGGGGGTCTCCTTCCTCTCAACTGTCCCTTCCTTGCTTCCTCTCTTTTCTGTCTCTTCAACAAGTACCAACACTTCCATTGCCACCCGATGTCCTACTCACGCAGTAAGTCTCGCTTTCCCTTAGTGTGACATAAAAAAGTGAAATGAGAAATGGGGTTGCTTTAAAATGACATAAAAATGTTTCTTGGTTTGTTAGTTTTTCTTGTTTGATATGATGATCCAGAAGATTGTTGTCCCCGTTTTGGTTTGAAAATGTTCAGGCTTCAATTCGTTGTAGTAAAATGGAAGCTGCTTATCATGACGATCGGTTCCGTCGCAGGGACATTCTTAAGTGCATCGGTGCCTCCATCAGCATGGTGAGCAAGATCCTTCTTATATTGTTTCTCTTGTTTCGTTCTCAAGTAGGTTTAGTTTTTGTGCTTTGCATGGACATTCTGGATTTAATTATGTATTAGAGAAAGGAAAATGTATGTTCTAAAAGACTTCTCCATAGGTTTTGGCTCTACCTTTTGCTGAATTGTCTGTTAGAAAAATGGCTTGTTAAGCTATATTAAAGGCCCATTTTGAGGCCCATTTTGTAAAAGGGCCCAATTAGATTTTGAGATGGGTCTTAATGGATTTGCGTTCTCCGTTGTGAGGAGATCGAAATCGATTATTCATACACGGTCCCAGCGGGTTAGGAGCCCAATGTGTGCGCCCGCATTCTGCGGACACGAATGCCGGACTGGAAAACCCACTCTGTGCGAACTTCATTTTTGCAATTTTACTTTTTTCCAACTGGAATCCGGAAACTGCAGCATTAGTGGGTGATTAACTCTGCATTATTGTAGGGTTTCGGAAAAACTGCAGCATTATTGCTTGGTTTATGGACATTTAACCATCGAATGAAGACATACCTTAGAGCAAGTTCATCAGGGGCTGTAACATCTGCTTTAAACACCATTAATCCGAGAATAAATCCGGATTTATACACCATAATGTCATGGTGTAACACCCGAATTTTAGAGCCTATATAAAGGCCATACTCCACATGAACAAGGACACTCACTTGCACAGAGCACTCTCCTCTCTCTCTCGAGTTCTTTCTCTTGTGTTTCCGAGTTTTCCTTGTGTAGTCTTTGTAGTTCCGTTTTAGTGATAGAGGGAAGGTCCGAGTTCTAGTTCGCCTGACGGTTCTGATAGTGCTTCGAGCTACCGTCGTTATCGTTGTATCTTGGGAGACGGACGTCTAACGTTGCCTCAAACACTCACCGGAGGGGACGAATCTATTTTAAGCAAAGCGTGATTCACGTGTCTCGACATCCTTCAAATTTCGTTTTCCGAATTTAGTAAAAAGGTTGAATTAGTGTTGTATAATTTCATTATTTTGTTTTTCCATAAGTTATTGTTCTTCTTTGTATTATTTATATTTTGCTAACATTGTCTTCAATCAGTAATCAAACTAAATGAGGATTTTGTTACATATGACTTCTTGAACATATATCCCAGCTTAATGAGCAGTGTATTGATAGCAACTTGTTAGTTTGTTAGAGAAGTTAGTAGTTAGTTAGAAAGAATGTTATTAGTTAGTTACTGTAGACTTTAGTTGGTTAGGGAATTAGTTAGAGAAAGCAGGGAGATATTAAAAGGGGGGTTCGGGAACTAAGAGAGGGGAGGAAAATACTGGAGTCTTGTACAAGAAGTCTTGGCTAAGGTTGAGCAGGGGAGATTTAGCAGTATCTCGAAAGACTACTTTTGTAATTCATTTCCGTTAGTCAATAAAGATCATATTTCGTTCTTCTGATTCTTTCTGGTTGTAGTCAATATTCTGTTCTTATCATGTATCTAGTCTCATAACTAGGACTTGAAATTAATTCTCTTTGGATAAAGTGAATACTGTTAAAAACAAAATGCACTAGATAAAACAAAACTAGCCAAGGGCCAACATTGGTTTGTGCAACAGATGCTTATTCCATGAATAAAAGTGACGTGATGATGAGTTTCTGCCAGTTGTAATGTTAGGGGTTGATAACAAGCTCGGACGGATTAGTGGAAACGGCCAGTGCTGCTGATTTGATACAACGAAGACAGCGTTCCGAATTTCAATGTAAGTTCTTCAACTAACTCCTAAAAGCTACGAATATCAGTTGGAGTTGCTGATCCGGAATCACCTTCGCTTTTTCCACAGCAAATATCAAGGAGACCCTTTATCAAGCAATAAAGGTTAGTAGTGACATTTTCCATTTATCAATTAGCTATATTGCATACTAGTTCACAAATTCAAGATGATGTCTCTAGTTTGAGCCGCTATAACTTTTCTGCTCCAATTCGTTTCAGAAAAATCCAGATATTGTCCCATCTCTACTAACTTTGGCACTGAACGATGCTACAACGTACGATAAGGTTGGACAGAAAACCTTCCTTACGAAATTTGTTCATTTCTTTGAGGAGAAATTTTAATTTACTGGTTTTTAAGCATGTAGGCTACTAAATCTGGGGGCCCAAATGGATCCATACGATTCAGGTACATTGGATTGATGTTTTCTAAGCCAAGCAGTTGACTTAAACATGATTCCCTCCTTTAGTTTGTAGTTTGTAAGGAACTGTGAGAAACTTCTTATTCATGGAAAACTGTTAAGACATTTAGTTTTCCTTTCTAATTCTATAGCTTTTTCCTTTTTCTATGCTTTAAATCATTTGTTTTGACACTTTGTGAGGGATATATATATATATATATATATATATATATATATATGTATATTGAGGGGAAGAAAAACACACCATCTTTACTTTCTTGTCCATTATTTTCTTCCCTGAAGCTTAGAGATAAGCAGACCTGAAAACAAAGGGCTTGCTGCTGCTTTGAATCTTTTGGAGGAAGCAAAGAAGGAGATAGATTCCTACTCTAAGGGTGGACCTATTTCCTATGCAGATCTCATTCAATTAGCAGGTTTTTAACTTATTACGCTTATTAACCATATTTGAGCAAGCCATCATTATATTTATGGCTATTGACATAACATGACCCGCTTGTTAGTATCATTGACATACATATCTAGCAGAGTAGAATTGCTTGCTCATGAAAGATGAACTAAAATCCGTTCATGGCTTGGATTTTTAGGAAATTTGAGGTTTTTTTAGTGTAACAATCTCCTTTACTTATGCAGCTCAAAGTGCCGTTAAATCTACCTTTTTAGCTGCTGCTATTCGCAAATGCGGTACACTTTGTGAGAGATATATATATATATATATATATATATATATATATATGTATATTGAGGGGAAGAAAAACACACCATCTTTACTTTCTTGTCCATTATTTTCTTCCCTGAAGCTTAGAGATAAGCAGACCTGAAAACAAAGGGCTTGCTGCTGCTTTGAATCTTTTGGAGGAAGCAAAGAAGGAGATAGATTCCTACTCTAAGGGTGGACCTATTTCCTATGCAGATCTCATTCAATTAGCAGGTTTTTAACTTATTACGCTTATTAACCATATTTGAGCAAGCCATCATTATATTTATGGCTATTGACATAACATGACCCGCTTGTTAGTATCATTGACATACATATCTAGCAGAGTAGAATTGCTTGCTCATGAAAGATGAACTAAAATCCGTTCATGGCTTGGATTTTTAGGAAATTTGAGGTTTTTTTAGTGTAACAATCTCCTTTACTTATGCAGCTCAAAGTGCCGTTAAATCTACCTTTTTAGCTGCTGCTATTCGCAAATGCGGTGGAAATGAAGAGAAGGGGAACTTATTGTACAGTGCGTATGGTTCAAACGGGCAGGTTTGTTTCATTATTGTTGCTCTTTCCTGGTAATCTTAACATCATTCTGGCATGATCTCATCTCTTCTTCTTAAAAGTAACTAAAAGATTTAGGCATGAAATGAATACAAATACATTATACGGCCGTTTTTTTCTTATGGCAACAGTGGGGCTTGTTTGATAAACAATTTGGGAGGTCAGATTCCCAAGAGCCAGATCCGGAGGGCAGGGTTCCCCTATGGGAGAAAGCCACTGTCCAAGAAATGAAAGACAAATTCTCTGCTATTGGCTTTGGCCCACGTCAGGTTATTTCTCCACAACTCTTGGAACTTCTTTTGATTGGATTTCATAGTTTCTGTGTACTTGAATCAAATCTGACTAGTTTAAATCTCAAAAGGCAACAACCTCACTAGTCAAATGTGTAGAATCAAAATGAAAAAAATTTGGGTGTGACCAATTGAAACCATTGGCACAAACCTTTGTATCCGAAAATCCTAATGAGATAGCAACTGATAGTTATTTCTAATGCTTGGCCAGCTAGCTGTGCTGTCCGCATTCTTGGGTCCTGATCAGGCTGCGACTGAGGCCTTGTTGGTCGCAGATCCGCAGGTCAAACCCTGGGTTGAGAAATATCAACGAAGCCGAGAGACTGTATCGCAGACAGATTATGAGGTCAGTGCCATAATTTACTGTACTTTGTAAGCACTAAGCAGCCTGGTTTGATACTAGATAGTTGATATGGTTTCAATATTGGCTTTCAGGTTGATTTGATAACAACTCTCACCAAATTGAGCAGCTTGGGCCAGCAAATCAATTATGAAGCATATACGTATCCCAGGGAAAAAGTTAATCTCGGCAAACTAAAATTGTAGAGAGCAAACAGGAGCATGTTCTATCAGAGCACCAACTTCGGAAAATGAATAGCTGATTCTTGCGATCCATAATAGCGCTTTTTTTTTTTTTTTTTTTTTTTTTTTTTGAAGAGCTACAAGTGTCAACTTTTGCTATTGAAAATCTATCTAAACTCTGAGATGAGAAGGCCATACTAGCTATGAAAAACATACCATTGGCACTTACTGTTAATCAGTTGTGCAGTCGATATGATATAAAGTTGAATTACAAATTCTTCAAGCTTTCCAAACGTCAAATGAACAATGGCAAAAGTAAAAAGTTATAATAGGACTTGGTCATAAACAAGACGATGACAATGAAGGTAGAGTAGTAACTCACCAAGTTTACTTTAAAGAAAAGAAAAATCCCCGTCATCAACTGTTTGTGCATCCATCGATCAATTGCTTGTCATCATCAAAACAGCAGGCTCGGCTTATTTACTTCAGAACATAACAAAAATGCTTGTGGTGTTATTATCATTTGCAGTTTGAATCATTGCAATCCAATTAGTCGACGATATTTAAAAGATTACATTACCGGGGCTTCTTGTTGAGGCAAAAAGCCCTCAAAAAGGACAGAAGGAAAAAAGAGAGCGAGTTTTCACTATCTTTCTGAATTTTATAATTTACTTGTTTTTCTTTTTTCTCCATTAAATTCATAGTAATGTGTACCAAAATAAAGATACCGCAACTCTCAAATTCTCAGAAAAATAAGTACAATAATATCTGCCACCTTATCTGGATTTGGGAGCGATAAGCTCAAGTCCCCCCATGAAGGGCCTCAGTGGCTCAGGGATAATGACACAGCCATTTTCTTGCTGGTAATTCTCAAGCAGACAAACAATCATTCGCGGTACTGCACATGCTGTTGCATTTAAGGTGTGAACAAACTGTGGTGGAGCAAGGTTACTTTTGCCCTTTTTAGGAGTTGCCCCAGATGGTTCTGAAGGGCGATAGCGGATCCCAAGACGCCGGCTTTGGTAGTCAGTACAATTTGATGCGCTCGATATCTGTTCAGAATTCAAAATTGATCATCACATTGCTAAGTAAACCTTGAAAACACAAAATATCAATACTGAAAGATCAAAACTCATGGAGAAGTCAAGTTTCTGAATTTATATTGTTCTTAGTGGGTGAAGAAGATAAGGAGGGAGGCACACTTGCAATACCTCACCAAACCGTTCTAAACCAGGCATCCACGCCTCAATATCATATTTGCGGTAAGCAGGGGCACCTAAATCACCAGAAGCCATATCCAAAGTTCTGCCAAGAAACAAAAGGCCACTCACAAACAGGAAAGAATAACAAACATGTGACCAATCATAAGCTGTTGGAATCAAAGTGCTAACTTGTAGTGTAATCCCAATGATGAAAACAGGTCTTCTTCAATCCTAATGAGCTCCTCATGATAAAAATCGCTCTCATCTGGTCGGCATAAAATAAACATCTCCACCTTGCTGAACTGGTGGACTCGATACAGACCCCTGAAAGAATTGTCACAACTTCATAAAAAATGAGGCAATAATGAAAGTACCACGGACTTCAAGAATATAAGAGCCATTCTTAATGAAAATAGTATTATTCAAGCTTATGAATATCGAAAGGGACAGAGGAGGAAGTGGAGACAGGAAATCAATAATATTACCTTGTTGCTGTGCCAGCAGCACCTGCTTCAGTTCGGAAGCAATGAGAGAATGCCACATACTTCAAAGGTAACGATGATTCAGAAAGAATAGAGTCCATATGAATTCCCCCAACTGGAATCTCTGCAGTGCCTATAAGACACTGGTCACTACCCTCAATAGAATAAACCTGTTATTAATTGGTAGATGATCATAAAAGAAAAATGACTCCAAACCAGCTCAAAACAAACAAACAAAAAGAAGAAAACAATTAATCCTGCTTAAAGAAAGTGCTTTTGTCCATCCCTCCCTCTCATTTATCACCTCTTTTCAAAGAATCAGCATCTAAACATGTTGGGGACTCAGCCCTTTGTGCAATCCTCATCCATTGTCTTCCAACAAAAGATGTTACTTAGCTCATTGAGAAAATTGTCGTTAAGGGAATATAACAGAAAAATGAAACATGTCATCAAGTATATGCATTAAAAATGCACGTGGTAAGATGATCCGTGCCAGAAGATACCTGTGTGTTATCTCCACGGGGTTGAAACCCACATTTTTCAACAACCGAGGACCTAACAAGTTCTGGTGTTGTTAAAGGTGTAAAGCCATTTTTTATAACTTGTGATAATGTCCAGTTGACAAGTGCCATCTCCAACATAACTGCTTCGTTCTTCAAATAGTAGAATTTTGATCCGCTGACCTGTAAACAAGCAGGACCTTAGAAGTCTCAAAAGATTTCACTTTTGCTTTGTTTCTTTCTTTTTTTTTCCAGTTAAATGGAAGCTATAAGCTATATATCAAACTCATGTAAACTACCATGGTGGAAGCTATAAGCCATATATCAAACTCATGTAAACTACCATGGTTTATCCTACAAAATCACGATACCTCTGAGGCTGCATCAAAATCAAAAAGATCCAGCTCTTTCCCAAGTTGTAGGTGATCCTTTACAGGGAAGCTAAATTTACATGGGCTACCAACCTACAAGACACATCATGAATAAGGAAGAAAGCAGAACGAGCATGGACTAATAAAATACACCTTCCCATTAGTGAAAAAAGAGGGAGAATACCGTCTTTCTCGTAATTGCACATTCCTCCCCACCTATGGGAACATCTGGATGAGTTATATTTGGTATGCATTGTGCTTCCTGCTGCAGGTCTTCTTCCAAACTCAGAAGCTCTTCTTTCAGATTCTTCCCTAAGTGAAACAATCATTGACACAACAGATTAAGAAGCCTAAAGAAAAGATGGCCCAGGAAAAAAAAAAAAAACTATAACAAGCATTCCAACAAATTCTATTTCCCCAAAATAAATAATAAATAATAAATAAATAACCTTCTTCTATGAGTTTCTGACGCTCCGACGGCTCAAGCTTCCCTTTCATCTTGTTTGCCACCGCATTCCTTTCTTTGCGAAGCCGCTCAACCTCCTGCTATCTGTGAATAACAAATTAGCTAAATTTGAGAAATAAATGCCATCCGTACTAACTTTGCATTTCAAAATGACAAAAAACAGAACTGAATTCAGGTATTAGAGAAAACTGTCACTTGATCAAAAGTGTTTGCCTTATGCTGTCGAAGTACAAGACGTAAGTAACAAGCAAAACACTCAGGCCTATAACTAACGAAAACTAAACTATGATAAAAGATGCAGAGTTTAACTATCCAAAAAGAGGGAAAAAAATTTATGAAAACAGACCTTCTGAAGATCGAGCATTTTCTCATAAAGCTCAAGTACGAGCTCCAAATTAGCATTGGAATTCCTGTTCCTGACGTTGGCAGCAACAGCGTCTTTGTTATCCGTAATCCACTTGAAATCAATCGCCGCTTTCCATTGAGGTTTCGCAACTGCATTCTCAACCAGAAAAATAAATAAATAAATAAATTCAAGAATCAAACTTGAAGATACGAGAAAGGCAAAAAAACAAGAACCACGACAAAAGGATTAGCTTGCGAGAAAGACGTGAACAAACACCTTTTTCGTCTGGAGAAGTTTTCGTGGGTGGAGCGGCGGAGACGGAAAGAGCTCTGAGGGGTAGAAGAAATGGAGGTCTTTGAGAGCGGTTATGGCGGGAGAGGAAGCGAGAAGTGAAGGCTCGGGATAATGGCCCGAAAACGAAGCGACAAGAAGAAGAAGAAGAAGATGAAGTTGAAGAAGAAGGAATAGCTGCAAGCTTGAGAGTGTGTAAGGCCGTCCCGCCCAAACAACACTGTAAACCCATTTTGCCACTGAAATTGAATTCTTGGTGTCGGCTGAACCACTACTGCTTTGGATGCCACTCCACTGGGTAACAGATATGGGAAACAGATATGGGTCACAGATATGAAGACTTTGAGAGTTGGGAGGGATAAAAAATAATAATTAAAACAAAAATAGAAAAACGCGTTTTTTTTTCGCTCAAACAAATAGAAAAACGCTTAGCCGAAGGAAATTGAAGGAGAGTTACTGGTAGGCCGGCAATATGGGTCACGATACGACAACACGATTCAAAAATGATACGAATTTTATGGGTTAGGGTTGAGAAAAAAAAGGTTCGAGTCAGAATTGGATCGACCTGAAATTGACACAAAAAACACAAGTCAATTTCGAATTGGACTCGCCTAACCCGAACACGAAATGAAACTCGTAAAAAACTAAAAAATACATATATTTTTCGTTACATATTTTGATTTTATTATGAACTTATGATATCATAATAGTTATACTCAAAATCTTATAGTATTATTTGCTTAATTTCAATGGATGTTATTGTATTTTAGTGTGTTATGAATTTTAAGTTATTTTTAATATGTAAAAAACTAAATAAAAGTATACAATTTTCGTGTCAATTTCGTGTCACGGGTCACTTTCGGATCGTGTCGTGTCAACCCGTAAAGTGGTCGTGTCGTGTTCGTGTTGCGGTTTTTAAAAAATTTTGTGTCACGTGTCATGTTCGAGTTGACTATAAATTTAAAAAGAAACGATCAAAATACGACACGTAACACGAATTGTCACCCCTAGTTAGTTACTGGCCTATAATAAAGCAGCTAAACTGATTGCTTGTTGTTAGTTGAAACAACGTCAGCCGGCATTTTTTTTTTTTTAAGAAAGAAAGTATCAAAATACAATCCATGGAAAGAAATCTAACTAAATAATGTCTGTTTTTATTTAAAGAGCAAGTAAGAATAAATTATGTGATGATAAAAAAAATAGCACATAAAATTTATTTAATTGTTTGAAAGAAAAACAGAGACATAAGATCAATAGGCTATTAAAGATACTATTTCAAACCTGTTAAGTATATAAATATATGGAAAGGTTTAAAAATAAATAAATTATTGAAATTTAAAAAAAAAAAAAAAAAAACAAGAGGGATGAACTTATCTTATATTGAGAAACGATAGCAATGACTTCAGAATATGAGTTAAGTAAGATGTTCATAAGGATATCAAGATTTATATTCAACCAAAGTTGAATGCTAAACCGCAGTTAAATTACTAGCATATGTAGAGGATTGCGGTATTCAACCAAGGTTATTTTGATTTTTTTTATCTACTTTTTATTTCTATTTATTCTTTTATTTTTTTATTTATGTAAGAGGGAGTAATAAGAATGAGTAAGGAAGGAAGGCTTTCCTTACCAGTCCCTTTTTAATACATAGCAAAGTAAAACACTTTTAGGGAATTAAAACTACTAAAGACCAATAAACCAGTCCCTTTTTAATACATAGCAAAGTAAAACACTTTTAGGGAATCAAAACTACTAAAGACCAATAAACCAATCCCCTTTTAATACATAGCAAAGTAAAACACTTTTAGGAAATCAAAACTACTAAAGACCAATAATAAAAATAAGATTAGTTGTTATAAGATATAAGAGCAATTATTGACTTTTGGAATATAAAAGTAATTGATGAAATGTAGTTATCCTAATAAAGGGAAATATTTAAAAATGTTTGAGAATGAAACGGGAGGAAAATTTTTTAATAACGATTCAAAAGTAAATGTCTATATTAGCAGACATCTCCAATTAGGATAATAGTAATAAGATTTAACATTAAAAATAAATTAAAATATATCTTTTAAAGAATTATGAAGATGAGAGAGTAATTTATGAGGAAAGTTTTCTTTCTTTTTTTTTTTTTTTTTCTTTTGAAGGACTTGTGAGGAAAGTTAAGTAATGTGGCAATTAATTTTTATGTTACTTCAGTCGGTAATTTAACGAAATTGGGTAAATTTACACATCGTACATATAAGGAAAAATGATATGAATATCCTCTAATCTTGATTTCAATATTTTACTCTTAATTAATACCCTTCTTAATTAATACCCTTAAACTTTGATAGTTTGATCATAAACATTTAATTTTAGAAGATTACTTCTTAAATTTTTATTTTTTAGCAGTTTTAATTTCTGACACTAAAACTAAAATTAATGAATGATTCCTAAAATTTAACATAGTTAATAGCGCGTTGATCATGTGATAATTTGAAAGTTTTGCATGATAGTTACATCACAATATGTTTTGGTCACTACTTTTCAAACCCATTAAAAATTAAAAAATTTTGCACAAACCGATGACTATTTACATAAAATGTTCAATAAAGTGACAAGTGTGAAAGAACAGTGAAATAATTTTAATTTTGCACTAACCGATGACTAGTAAAATGTTCAATAAAGTGATAAGTGTGAAAGAACAGTAACAATTATGTTCAATAAAGTGACAAGTGTGAAAGAACAGTGACAAATAATTTTAATTTTGCACTAACCGATGACTAGTAAAATGTTCAATAAAGTGATAAGTGTGAAAGAACAGTAACAATTAATCGTGGCCACTCTGTGTGTGTGTGTGTGTGTGTGTGTGTGTGTGTGTGTCTATATGCCACTTAGAGTGCAACTTTTTCTAATTCCGTCCAAAGCATTCTTACTTGATTAGGAAGTATACGCCATCTTTTTTCTCGAATTCGGTTCGAGCATTCCAGGTCAAAGGACTTTAGGTGATTTGCATAATGCCCAAAAAAAAAAAAAAAAAAAAAAAACTTATTCCTTTTTGTTTCGAAACGACTCGAGTCTTTATCGTCTGAGAAAAATCGTTAAAAAAAAAAAAAAAAAGGGAGTAAAATGACAAACCTTCAATCTTAAGGCAATTTTCAATTGAAATTTGAACCCACCTTTACCTTGCGCCTAAAATATCAAAGACGTGCCCGCAAATATAGTAGATACCAACATCTCATTTATGTGTAATAAATTATCTGGAGATATGCTTACAGTTACTGGGAATAGAATCGTTATTTTTAAAATAAGAAAGATGAGCAAGCACACCAGAATACTGCCTTAACCAAATAATGTAACACATACCCAGATAAATGGGATCGCAGAAAATTGACGTTATAACTATGCACAACATTTAAGCCGGAGAAACACCATAAAGAAGAGAAGCTTTCCTCATTTTGATGTCAGTAAATGACATTGTTTTATGAGCAATAAATTTTCTGTATTCGGAAACAAGCCAAAATTTCTTATTAACTCATTGTTTAAGAAATTCCCTGAGAGTTCAATTCTCATCAAGAAAGTTCATCTATCAGAATACCAACTTGGACAGAAAAGCAGTATGCAAAGCATATGAAGCTTTTAAACAAGCACTATCTGTCTACAGAGGACCTGGAAAGGCTCCATTCTCCCTTTGCTCATTCCACCTCTCGACCTGGCGCATATGAGAAATAATAACAATTAGCTTACAGAAAGAGGTGTCATTTTTAGGGGAGCATGCCTTTTTTCATGATTAAAACTCTCTCTTTTGTAGCCACAGCTTATCCAAATCAGCAAATAATATAATATAAACATAACGAGTATCAAGCATTAGAAGCAAGACATAAAAGGATTTAGCATGTTAATAACAAAACGGTAAAATCTCATTGGAATCCCTCACCCAATCCATTTTTTCAACAGTAAAATCTCATTGGAATCCCTCATCCAATCCATTCTTTCATCTTTTATCTCCTATCGAGCAACTATGGGTACTAAAATCCTCCCACTAATCCCCTCACCCTCCCCCCTCCCTCCACTTTTCCCTCCAACCAAACAAGCTCTAAGGACAAAAGATTATAGTTCCTAAGAAATGAACAAAGCAATTAAGATACATACCCATTCACCAGGACAAAGAGAACGATAATATTTCTGAAACTTCTCACACTCTGGAGCATCTTCTCCCTTTGCAGCCACACACCTGAAAATAATTGAAATAGTCAAGACATTTTATCTGAAAGAATGGTCAAACCAATACGCAAAAAAATAGAGCTCATGCTTAAGAAATTAGACAGAAGAACGCAGAAAAGCAGGGGGAGAACAAGAGAACTTGCAGTATTCTCACCGATGATACTCAATGTAACGAGTAAAGCAGTGCCTTGTTAGGGAAACGAAAATCTGCTGGTGCTGTCTCAAGCTGGCCATCAAAATATAACATATAAGCGAAAAACTTGCACATATAAAGATATAAATGGAATGCAAATCTAGGTGACCAAAAAGAAGAAAAGCCATTGACAATGGCGTCGGCAAGCCAACCTTAATCTCTGGTGCCTCTTCTGCAACTTCTTGATCACCCGAGTCTTCAGCATTTTCACTGCTTTCCTCAGTAGCAGCTTCAGAGCTGTTTTCAACACGGGCAGGATTGGATTTGGTACTTTCATCAGCAGGAGCAGAAGGGGTGGATTTGCTACTTTCTTCACCGCCACCACCAACGACTTCAGTGCTTTCCTCGGCAGCAACTGCTGGTGGTTCCTCAGTTTTCTCGGCAATAACTTCCTTGGGTTCAGTTTTCCCTGGATTTTCAACCTCTTTTACTTCCACGGGCTTAGAATCCACAGCTACCTTCTCCTCTTTCCCCTCCAATAGGTATTGCTGCGAACCAAAGCATTAGGGAAACCATTTCCCAAAAACCATCAGCTTACAAGTAAAATGACACAGAGCTTTTCCACTGTCTAGATGAGATAAACTTGTAAACATAACTGGCAAATGAGCTTATATGTTTAACAGCAAAGTGATTTCTATAATCAAGCAGACAATGGAGTGTTTTAAATATATGTGTAATTTCGTAGTAAAATCAATCAGGCCATTTCTTCACTCATATATATATATATATATATATATATATATAAGTATTCAATCAAGCATTATATCAATAAGAGACATTCAAATTTGATAAATTCATTCTATAATACTATTCCGCACACAAATAAAAACAAAACAGAGTTCTCTTTTAAAAATTTTATTTGGAGGAAAAAAAAACTAATTTCTAACGAAGTAATACTATAGTTTATAAATTAGGAAGGGAAAAAAAATAAAATTCATTAGGGCAAACTAAGACCAAGAGAGAAAAAAATCTTATTTCATGTCCAACTACCTCTAAGCTTTACTTTCTATTAGACCCTCAATTATGTACATTTCAATAAAAATAAACAAATAAATCGATCCCACAACGACCATCTGAAAAGCGCTAAAAGCTAAAAAAATAAAAAATAAAAAATTCTTTTTTCCAGGAAAAAGAAAAGGAATGGCTTGTAAAATTACAGCAATCCAGGCAAGAGATCAAATCAAAGCTAAAGAAAATAGAAGATTGAGCATTTTTATTCTACACTAAATTGAGTCAAACAAAGCAATAAAATTGGATCGAAATCAAATTGGTTTGGAAGCTCTGAGAAGAAGAAGAGAAAAGGAAGGTACCTCGGATAGGGTTGGGGCCCGGTCTTGTTGTTGCGCCTCCGCCATTTGGGGAAAGAGGAAGCGATCTGGTCAGCTCGCTGTCTATCTTCTTCTTCGTCTTCGATAGGCGGCGAGGAGAGAGAAAATAGTTGAAGATAGGAGAGAGAGAGAGAGAGAGAGAGAGAGAGAGAGAGAGAGAGAAGAAAGCAGAAAATGAAAATACTTGTCTAGGGTGTCAGATACTTTAGGGCATGGTAAAAGGAGAGGATTTTACTGGCTTACTATGAGGTCCAGTAAAAGAATCTCTCAAGTCAAAAAGAACAAAAGTGAGTCACGAGTTTCCGTCGTTTGTATAAATTTGATGTCGTATTGTATTCTGCGACACACGGAGATCTTGCGAATGATGCTGGAACTTACCAGGTCAATCCAGATTCCACCGGATTGCGGTTAGGGCCGACGAGATAAAAACATTGGGCCTCTAATGCAATATGGGTTGGGCCTTAGAGTGTCTCCGTCTTTACAAAATACTTTGGGTTTTTTCAACACAAGTCTGTAACGCGAGCTGTTATATAAATTATTTAAAGAAAAGGGGAAAAAAAAAACATGAAAGAAATAAAGACAAAAGCAGAAAATAGATCTGTAGTAAAAAAAAAAAAAAAAAAAAAATTTAACTTATTTTTTTGTGTTTTATTGTGCTTTGTTTAATTTGTTTTTTATTTAATTTAGTTTAATTTATTTTATTTTAATGTATTTTTGTTTAATTTTATTTTTTATTCAAATTATTTATAATATTTTTATATGAGTAGAATCATAAATTTTGAATAAAACGACATTAAAACGAATAAAATCGGATCAGTTCAAAATAAATAAACAAATATAATAAATAACAATTAAAAAATAAAATCGGGAATTATTTGGATCGAGAAACGGCCATGATGCGCGTGTGAAGACCACGACTAGACAGGGAGGCGTGGAGCTCAGGCTTGGCAGTTGCTTTGAGTCATGCGGGCCCCGCTACTCTCTCAAATCAGCCAATAATAGGAGACACGTGGCCTAGCTGTCGGCCACTTTCACCGGCGTAAGATCCACTGCAGCGTGCTCCATATGGGCTCTTTTTTTCCCAGACAATAGCATGCCAACACGCATGGAGTCTCAAATAAGAGAGCCAACCAAAAGCTGTCGTATGGATTCCACTAAAGAAACGCACCAATCACAAGACAGAAACACGGAGATTTCAAGGAATATTAACAGATTAAAAATCTGTTTAGTTTGCTAATTTAAATTTTTAATTCGTATTAATATATAATTTTATGTGAGAAATTTTTACTATAATAAAAGTTAAATATGATTAATTTTAAAAAAAATTTATTGTAATAAAATTTAAATTTTAAACTTAAATTGATAAAATGGACATGGTCTAAATATCTTTCTCTCTTAAAAAAAAAAAAGCCACAAACACATTCAACTTTTGATATATGTACAGATGTATAGACATAGCAAAATCTTAGTAATAAGATTGTAATATAGCAATATTTTGGGAATATTTTAGAAATCGTAAAAATTAATATCATTAAAATAATTATAGTGTAATTATATGGTATAAAATGTGATATCATTATGATAATTACAATGTTATTTTTGTTCTTTTTAAAATATTTTGAAATTTTTGCTAAATTTCAATTCTCTCATAGTAATTATGTCATGTAGGATAATTGCTTAAAATAGTTTTTTAAAAATTAGAGATCACTAATTTGATCAATATTTTCAAAACATTTAAAAGCATTTAAAATATTAGATTTCTTAAAAACATTAGTGGTAGCCCTTCTATCACTTATGTCTATTCAAATTTTTCTATCACAGTGTTTTTTCTCACATAAATTCACTTTTAACTTAAACTTAACTTGAACGAGCGAAATGAATGTGGTCATTATATTCCCTCTTTGTGTTCTCTATCATGTTCCATCAGCACCTATTTTCTTATTTTCATCTTACAACATTCTCAACTGCCAATGTAAATGGCCAATCTCCATTGCATTGCATACCATATGAATGCCCAATTTATTGCCGCTTTCTTGGATGCTTGATCTCTATTTCACAGCGCCCCTTGTGAACGCCCAATCTTAATCGTGTAACGCCTCTCTGTTACTTTTAATTTTTTAATTTAAAATTATTCTATAAGAAAAGTGATTAAAAAAATTTAGAATTGCATGTCATGTCTTCCGTTTATATTAAGCCGGTAAAATTTTGTTTATCTGTTTCGCTGCATCGTCTACTTTCCACTTTACCATACTTCTTTCTGTGTTGATTGCGCATGTATTCACTTTCTACTTCTGGATTGTGTATTCAAATCTATATACGTTTTTATTACGATAAATGGCTTTTCGAAATAAAACATGACAACGGCTTTCATTTGTGTTAATCATTAATTGATGCGATAACATGACTTTCACATTAGTAAAGTATGCACTAAAATGTTTGAATTGATCCTCCCCTTAAAAAAATGTTTAAATTGATCCGTTGAACAAGCAAAACATGCGCGTCCGAATGAATTTATGAAAACGATAATATGATTTACAATATTAGTAGGTAGCAACTATTTGTCCATCCAAATGATGCTGCGCAAGCTATCTCCTTCAAGCAACAAATCGAAAGCTTTGTTTATATCTCTGAAGCTCAACTCGTGTGTTATGAATCCGTCAAGATTAAGTTCCTGTAATTACAAACAACAACTTGTCAAGTATCACATTATTACGTTTTGAACCCTATAGCAAGCAAGTTCATGCAAATTTCACCTTGTCTAAGTATTTCCTAGCAAGGATTGGAATGTCAATTTTAGGTTTGACACCTCCAAGCATTGATCCAGTGACAGTTTTACCCCTCAAAATTTCATAACTATTCACACTTAAAGGCGATCCGTGCATCTCCATTCCTAGGATCACTGTCTGTCCCCATCCCTGCTCTCCATGATCCATAGCAATCATCGGTCGTATAAATAATAGAAAAAAGAAACCTAATGAGAAAGAGAAGAGAAAAAAAATAAAAATAAATGTATATAGAGAAGCGGATAAGAAATAGAAGACCTCTCGGCAAGAACTAAAAGCATCTTGCATTAAGGAAGCCAAACCAATGCACTCAAAACAATAATCAGCACCTCCATCAGTTAAATCCTTAATGACCTAATAAATCGCCCACACATACATACATTAAAAGAGAGATAAAAAGAAATTCCACTATAAGGGTAAATACTCCGTATGAGAGGGAAATAACCAACCTCGCTTACAGACTTCCCATCAATGGTAGCGGGGTTAACATAATCAGTCACCCCAAAATTCTTTCCTGCATTAGCAATGAAACTCTCAAACTAAACAATATTTGTTGATAGAGACCTCGATCTCTAATGCAAATACAAATGTCAATTTTATGTTGACACAACAAATATAAAAAGATATATTTGATGTGCTTTTTTATCTTATTTTCTAAAATATATAATACTATTTTACATGTTATATCTACTTTTTATCATAAATTTTCAAATTTTGAAACTTGTAAGAGGAAATTTTCATTTTAATATTATTTAAACACAACGATAATGTAATTATTTAGGTTAAAAAGCCAGCACCTCAACCAGAAAACAATAGATATTATCAAAGATTCATATATACAAAATATAACATATGTCAAATTTGTGTTGACCGGTAATTGACAATTGAAAGTTAGAGGATGCTCACCAATCTCAAACTTTTTAGGATTTAAATCTACACCAATAATCTTAGAAGCGCCACGAAGCTTTGCTCCTTCTGCAACCTGATTTCACATTAAACACAACAAAATAAAGCTCATATTATTAGCTACAACTTGCGTTTGCCTCTATTAAATTGTATTAATTTTCAAATAATGGCACAATACTAACTCAAATTCCAAGTTGTATATCAACTCATGATGTGTCATAATTTTAGTTACTCGAATCTCAAGCATACTATAATAGTCACTGGAAGCTAAGATCATTTTTAATACAAATATCAATATCATTGTTATATTTAGCACTAAAAAATATGAAAATAACATATTTGATATATTATTTTATCTTGTGCTTAGTTTATAATGTTATTTTAAATATTATATCTACTTCTTGTTATCATTATTAAGCTTTGAAACTTACAAGTAAACTTTTAATTTTAATATACTTTGCAAATAAAAATGTTGTGATAAAACTAAATGAAAGGTCAATATAGCAAATAATAGAAATCAAATGTCAAAATTTAACATATATTGTAAATTTGACATTTCATATAGCATATATCAATTTTAGAACAAAAATATTATTGTGCTAGAGGGTGATTACCACCCTCTACTCATGTCAGATTTTTTTGACATGAAGGTATTGCATTATGAATGCTCAAAGCTACCCCTTTTTTCCCTCTTTGTGCTCAATGCTACTAATTGGAACTTTGAAAAAAAAAAAAAAAAAAAAAAGTGGAAAGTCGGGACATTAGAGAAAAGCTTTGTTTCAAGGTGGCAACTTCGAGTCCACATCTGTTTTTCAAATTTCCTGTCCCATTTGTTATCACTTCAATTAGATTTTGACACCTCATGAATTATTAAAGAATTTTTATTTAGTTTCAGTTTATGTGATTAGATTGTTAAATTTTAGATAGTATGCTAAATACGTTGCAGAGACAAAGTAATGTCGACGATAAATATAGCAAAAGTTATAGTAAATAGTATATTTTTAAGATTAAATTAAGTAAATAGTATATTTAAAATGTTTAAAGTAAATAACAGTGAAAATATTTTTTACCATTTAAGTTTTTTTTCTACGACTAGATTTACGTAGTAAAAAAGTCTTGTTACCATACAAATATTTAGTTTACTATTATTTATTTTATATAGTTTTAAAATATGTTATTTACTTCAATTATTTATTCTAAATCCGCTATATTTACTACATTCTCCTTAAATGCGGATTAGGCAACTTTAGGCCCAAAGTGTGGAATCCGCATACCGCAAGTCCAACAGATCCGAGTCCAAAGATGGCGACTGTTGACCCTTCTTCCACCTCTGCCACCTTCCACGCTGCTCCAACACCTGCACCCATTTGGTCACATTGTATCCAATCACTTCCTATAAATATTTTCTTATCGACATATAAAAAATTAACAAGACTCTGTAGCATTTGTTTGATCATCAAAAACTTTAAAAAAAAAAAGAGTGAGCAAATATGGAGTTTGGTGTGGATGTTTTCGACATTGCAAATACGAGTGCACGTCAAAGATGATAATGTCTGAAACAAAAGATTATAAATATCCAAAACAATAATTATTTAAAGTAACATAAAGTGAAGTAGGTTTGAAGCAATGCATGTACTCGAATAAATATATAGTTAAACATGTATCACACCAGTTCTCAGAAAGAGATAAATATATTACCACACCAACAACCTGACAATCATGAAATTAATATTGTACACCATTTATATTTAATTATTTTCCTATCACATTATTTGAGAAGGAAAAAAAAAAATTCAGTATTGACAGTATACGTGATGCATGGTGGCCCACTTAATAGACAGAAAAAATATTCTGAATAAAATATATAGTGCTCCAGTTGTCATCCTGAGCATAATGAGAATTATTTTACATCTACATTCACCAATGGACTTCCAATCTTTAGTCTAAACCATACACTTTTAATGGGGAACAAATGATAACATAAAGTTCAACATATTATAAGCAACAACCTGCTCAAAGTGACAAATATTGGTGATTTTTACTGCAGGAATTTGAACATTATCCCAAATGAAAATATTAAATTCTGCGTTAACTTAATCGAATAGGATTTAAAATATGATAATTTCAAAATATTTCCTGCTCAAACAAGTATATGACTCCATTTTTTTTCCCTCCAAGAAAGAAAGAAAGAAAGAACCAGTAGATGCATCATTTACCGACCTGTTGAAACTCCACAGCTAAGCAAGCAAGCCTTATCGAGGGGGAGGTCTTGGCTGATTTTGACGACATTGGCGACGTCCACCACCGTGTACTGCGCGAAGCTGGAGACACTAAAGAAATGGTGCACAACTTCACCTTTCATGTCCCTAAATCTGCTGCTTTGGTCTCTTGGCATGTTGAGGGAATACTTGTTATATTTAAACACAGAGCAGTTATTGCTTTTCTTGGATTTGCAATCCCTGCATTCTTTGCAATTTGGTAGAAATACTGGCACCACTATGTCTCCCTCTTTCACCTCCTCCACATTCTCCCCAGCGCTCTCAACCATACTGTATATATCATCACCAAAATAGTACTACTCAAGAACTTAAAAACAAACCCAAAAAAGTACCAAACAAAAACTTAAAAAAAAAAAAAAAAAAAAAAAAAAAAAAAAGTGGCGGAAAATTGAAATAACGAATTAATGTTACCCAACAGCTTCATGCCCAAAGATTCTTGGGAAAACTGAAGCAGGTCCCTAGGCAAGTAAAAATAATGTGGTAATTAATTATACCAAAAAAAAAATTATATGATTGGCAAGTGAATAATAATGTTTTGTTTGTGTTCAATTGTTATATGTGCTTACTGCATTGATTTTCCAGAAGGTGACATCTGAGTGACAGAGAGAAGTGCAAAGGATTTTGATCCGGACTTCCCAAGCTTGAGGTGGGTCCACTTCAATTTCCTCTATGACCAGTGGTTGTCCTGGACTTCTGCATATTGCGGCTGATTCAATCACAATCCAAAGATATAAGTTATTATACAGCCAAAGAATGTGAAGGAAAAAACAGTCAAAACGGTGAGTAACAGATGAAGACTGTACAGAAATATTGCTAAAAGAATTACCTTTGCATCGTATGACTTTTCCTGCAGTTTCTAACGTGCCATTGCTCTGATGATCCATAGAGAAAGCTAGAACAAATACAAGTTTCTTCTTTCACTTTTCCCTTTCTTAATGAAATCAAATATTTGTGCAACAAAAATAGATCTTTTGATGATCGGTTGGAGAATCTTTCTGTGAGTGGAATCCTTTAAGTCTCACATGGCTTTATATGGGGTTGGTGGAACTGGGAAAACAACTCCACCACAATTCTGATAATTTTTATTTTTATTTTTATTTTTTTTGCAAAGGCAATAATTGAGAGGAGAAAAAAATTAAGAAAAACGTGATTTAGGTGTAACAAACACTTGAAAATGATTTACCAATAGTAGACGGCATTTTTCTAGTAGTCTGATTTCTGAACTACTTTCCATTTGATAGGGTATATCGCTGAGAAGATCATGCGTCCATGTTCAAACTTGCCTCTGTGCGTCACTTAAGACAACAGTAAAACAGATCGAGTACAGTAATATTATAATATGAATTACAACATTAATATGAACACAACACACACATACATGTATATATATCTTTCCTGCACAGCTTTCCTTCATGGTAATAGAAAGTTCTTAAACTTTTTATTACTTTATTTTCTCTTACAAAATTTAAATTCTAACTTTCTTATTACAACATTTTCTTTTACATAAATTTAATTTCAACTCAAATTCTCTAACTCAAGTTGTGAAAAGAACGGAAATACTTGTACTGGTGTAGTGGTCATGCTAAGACTGAAGCTGTTAGTCTAAGTACTCTAACTTGAGAGTCAGGACTTGTATATCGTTTCTTTTTGGAGAAAAATCAGACGGTGAAATGTCAACAAATGTCACCTGGGGTGGAACTGATACATGTTCTTGTCAATCCCATCTTTATTTTTTATTCCCCCACCAACCCAGTTATAAAGAATAGCGGTGGCCTTAGTAGGTTACAGCTTAAGCAATATATTCTATTGCCACAGGTAGCTAGGTAGCGCCACTATCTGTTTCTTGGATAATTGATGATGATAATTGTATTGCGAGAAATGCTCCTTTTTGTGAGTGGAAAGATCCTTTTCAAAGGCGTTATTATGATTTTCCAATTGCCGCTATTGGAGCCGGTCGATAGGCGATAAGCAACAAAATAAAGAGTAAGAAACGGGTCACCAATGATATATACATAACTTATGCTACATTACATATACGGTATCGACTTATCATTAACAATTGAGCATTATTAATTAATTATAAGTCTATTAACCATCATTACGGTACAACAATGGAACTATTACATATACTCACACTGGTTAACTCAAACTAGACAATCATATATGTCACCTGATCATTACGTTTCTCAATATATTATACCTAAATAATTCAAGGGATAAAATCATTTTGGTATCATGTATTATAATAAAACATACTGTTAATATCCTGTGTTTTTTATAATATTAAAACGGTACCTAAGAAACATTTTTTAGTACCTTCACTTTGATTTTTGACATTTCACCAAAATGATTTTATCCCATAATTCAATGGTGAACTTTGAAGTCTAGTCCAAATTAGTCGAAGCGTAATAGAAGTAAAGAACTCCATTTTAACTCCAGAATCGAAATCTAGTCAACCTCAAAAATTTGTGTATGCTACTACGAAGATTCTCTATGAGTGTTTCTTGGCAACTCAGCAAGAGGGTACCATATATATGGCTGATTACAAACGACAATTTTATCAAGGGTAAATAATACCCTACTCACAATGTTTAAACACAATCGTAAGCATTTAACACTAAATTATAAGAACATTGGTCCACTCCACTTAAAAACTCAATCTTTGAAGATGAATACCTAAGTCCTTAAAAATCCAAATTCTAACAAAGTTTGGTTTTAGCTAGAGCTTTCATTACTAAGACGAGAGTCAATAGAGAACAAGGGGCTGGGAGTACTTTAAGAAGTGTGCTTCCGGCTCGGACCATGGCTGTTTTGGATTAGCAAACTAATCTTCAGGAGGAGCTAGTTTCCATTCAAGAAACTCATTGATTAGAAAGTTCCAGCCAAGAAGGAGAAAGGGTTGTGTTTTTGTAGTAAACGACAACTATATGGTGGGGAATCTATACAAGAATAAAGAGCTCCATTTGTTAATTATAATGGTGGGGATGAATGGGCTGGTAAGGAGCTGGTGATCGATCAAAAGGAATGGCGTTTGAGCTCTACGGAGGCAGTATTACCAATACCAATTTGTATTGAGCAAAACCAATTTTTTTTTAAATTTTTTTTAAAAAAAAAAAAAAAAAAAAAAAAAAAAGAAAGGTTTTTCATGCTTGTTATAAGGAAAATTTTTAACCTTATGAAGTAGTACCCCTGTTAGTTTTAGTATTTTACCAAATAAGAGTAATAATTTGCCTTTTCTTATAGGTTTGAGTAAGGAAACAGATTTCATTCTCTGATTGAACCAATGTTTTCTCGGTTAGTGGCTCAAGGAAGAATTAATGCTTCATGAAGTGTAAGCAGATATCAATATCTGATGAACCAGTGTTTTCTATAGCTATAACTATTTATACACATTAAACTTTTTTTGAAGGTTATACACTAATTAAATTGGTTCCCTGTATCGTATGCAAAATGCCACACCAGCTAATACATAAAATTTTGCTAGCAAGGTTACTATTCTCTGTTTCACTTGTTTTTTGTATTTATGTATGTATATATGTTTGTATATATATATATTATTAGTAATGACCACTTATAAACAGCTATAGTACTATTTGATATATATATATATATATATATACACACACACACACACACACACATTACCAACTTAATTTTGACAATCGAATTTATACTGCTATTTTTACTTATATAGCTTAATTACTTATTAACTACCCTTATGTAATGTGTAAGAATGATATTTTTTTTTTACAGGTCACAATTGCTAACCATCTTCTACTTCTTGTTTATATTATTGTCGAGACTTTGAAATTGTTAGTGACAGTGCTTTTTTTTATTTTTTATTTTTTTTGTTTTACTTTCCTAAAACCAGGGCTTGGAAGAAGTAAAAACGGATGCATTGTCAACCCAATGGCTAATGCTAGGAAAAGGGTACTTCTTTAATTTGCTGTCACTCTTGTTTTTCTTCGTTTTGGAATAAACTACACTATAGTCCTCTTATACTTTAATCACATCCAATGGTCTAGATTAATGGCGCTAGACATGAACATGAGAAATTTGCTGGAGTTACTATTTAACAGAGTGAAATTGGCAAAATGATTTTTTTTATTCGTTTTTTTTTTTAAATGGTCATTCGTAGTCATTTTACAAATAAAAAAATTTTAAAAATTATTTTGCTAATAAAACTTTTTAATTGAGTCATTTTTACAAAGGCCTCACATAAGCACTAAGCACTGCAGAAGAATGGCAACGACAAGGAGAAAGACGAGGACAACAAAAACAGATTCACTAGAATATGGAAAATTGTTTTTATTTTTATTTTTTAAATCAATTATATCCAAACGGAATAAGCCCAAAAGACAACATCAAATGGAAAACGACAATAATTTCAATGAACAACAAAATCAAAGATAAAACGACAGAAATGCCAAAACAACAATACATAATACAAAAAACAACATAAAATGAAAACGACAACAACCTCTAAGAGGACATTGCTCACAGAAACAAGTCAACAACAAGGCCCTCAATTTCAAATGACAAACTAAAAATAACATGAACTAGGAAAAATGACAATATAATCAAGAAACTGTTGCTTCATTTCTCCTCAAATAACTACAAACGCATTTTTCATTACTGATCCGCTAACAAAAATACAATATGAATACTGAATATATAATATCTCTGTGTCTTATAGTTTAAATATGAATAATGTTTGCAAAATGGAAGATACACATTTGATTCCACCGTGTGAAGTTCAACATGTTGAATTTTCCCAATTGATTTGAGTCAATTTTGGCATGCACGGGTCATAGATTGGTGGCCCATAAATTCCATTATAACAGAATTGCATCAATTTTTAAATTTGTTGAATTTTGATAGACTTTGTGATGGACAGAGTCTAGATATAGAGCACGATTGGGTTCCCTAAGGCCATTCATTCTCTTATTCAGTTTCACACCATCATTTTACTGAGTTTGAAAAGGTTTTAGAAGCACCATAATTCTCAGAAGAAAAATTGCATTTTGGATTGCAAAGGAGCATCAAATTTTGATGATATAAGCATGTTTAGATCGTATAGTCAAGTCTAACACAACAAGGTCTAGTGAGCTGAAATACGGCCATAACGAGATAGTCCATAATCACAAGACGGCTCTCTCACCCGGCAAGTCCATAAGCCATAGCAATCACGAAAGCCAAGCCCAGTAATCAAAAGCAACAACATTTATTATCTTTTTTCTTCTCCCGGAACAGCAAATAACAAATATGAATTTTAAGTTTTGCCCCCCATCAATAATTGGTTCCTAGCACTTTTCTCTTTTCCTCATGTTTGTCCGTACAAGTTGGTACAACAAGTGTTGTTAACGGACAAAATATTTCTGAAACTCAAAGCAAAGGCAGAAAAAATGCTTTGTTTGACTAAAATAGTTGCATTATATTTGAATATTTGTTTTCATCGTGTATTTGAACTAGGTGGGGCCGAAATGAAAAGAAGCTTAGCATGATGAGATTTATGTCAAAATTACAATGTAAAACGTTAGACAGCCATGCTATTTAAAATTTTGGTCTTCTCCTTTAATTCACTGTTTAAGAAACTTTCAAAGTAGTAGCAGTAAGTACTAAGTACTACACGGATATTGTTTTTCGGTGAATATGCTACACAGATATTAATGTAATCATTTAGATTTTCTTTAATATATATATATATATATATTTTTTTTTTTTTTTGTAATGTTATGGGTACGATTGTCCCAACATCGAATGACGCATACGATCTGCTTATTTCTTGTTTTTCCATGTTGGGTTTTGTAGAACCCTTCAAAATTTTTCTTTTCCTTTCTCAATTTTTTTTCCTTTAATGTTTTTTCTCATGAACTTCTTTTTGGAAAATAGAACTTCAAGTTTTTTTTTTTTTCTTTTTTTTAGTAGAGTACTTCAAGTTAACATCAGGTAGATTTCCGAAAAGAAAAAGGGAAAATTAAATTG